CACAGGACTCACCTTGAGCAGCAGGCCGCACACGCGCCGCCGCCGCCGCAACGGAAGATGGGGAGGGGCGGAGGAGAGGAGCGCGCGCACGCCGTGTTGCCCCGCCCCCGACACAGCTGGGCGCATGCGGGCGTCGACGCCGCGCCTCCCCGACCCCTGAGGGCCTCGCGGTAAGATCGGCCGATCTAACACGCCCGGGCAGGGAGGGGTGTCCTGGGATGCCGGTGGTTTAGTGGGGCTCCGCCTCTGTGTCCACGGCGACTCTTTGCAGGTGAAAATAGGCGTGCTTGCATCAACAGGCGGGAGGGTTTTTGCGTTTCTCTGTTGTTGATTCTTTTACATTCAGATTTTTTTCTTAAAAAATTCCTCGCCCCAGATGCGGTCCGAAGTGGTACAGTCCATTCTAGGCACCTGCCTGGACTCTCGCCACCTCATTCTGATAAATGGGGAAAGGGCGGGTGACGTTCCTTGCCCCCCTCTTCACACCTGTATGCGAACTCGCCTATACGCTTCCATTTTCAGCACGCGGGGTTAACTGTGATCTTTAATCGCATTCATTTTAAGCATTAACTGATTTGTTCCTGTATTGCCCACGTGCTGAAAATGAAAAGTTATGAGCGAGTTCTGTATAGTTATATTGATATACATGATTATTGTACAACTTGTATATAGTGAGATTACACGAGAACCCCCAGCTCTCTATATAAACTATATATAAACTATATAGTTTTAATTCTATCAATGTTTACTTATTTAAATGATTGCTTATTCTAAGGTTTTTTTAAAATCTGATGAGAAGTGCAAATATGTTCCAATATTGCTGTTTTATCCAATCATTGTATTGATATATTAAAAAATTAAGTGACTTGCAACATGCCTGAGGGCCTGTATATTTGCATTTTCCTGTACTGTGTTGCACCAATGCGTTTTGAACATATTCCACTTTTCCATAAATCATCTACAGTCATACCTCAGGTTGAAGTAGCTTCGGGATAACTATTTTTGGGTTGCGTGCTGCGGCGACCCGGAAGTAACAGAGCGTGTTACTTCTGGGTTTTGCCGCTCGTGCATGCACAGATGGTCAAAATGGCATCATGCGCAGAAGTGGCGAATCACGACCCGCGGATGCGGGTTGCATTCACTTCTGGATGCGAACAGGGCTCCGGAACGTATCCCGTTCGCATCCAGAGGTACCACTGTACTGTACTACATTACTGCCCTTTTCATACTCTGATGAGGTTCATGTAATTTTATCATACAGGCAACAACCGTCTTACGCTTGTCCAATATGTGTTCGACTGCACGTCGCAGCAACTTGGAAAAAGGGGCAGGGTGGAGCAGACTTATGCGTGCTCTGCAAACCCGTGGGAGGTGGTGGTGGTCAGGAATGTAAACCCCACGCAAAATGGTTGTTGCCTATATTTAAAATTCCAGCAGTGGGAGAGCTGAAAAGCAGAGCTCACTCCATCAGCTGTGTGGTGACAGACTTCCCTCAAGCCTTCTCTCCCCTCAACTGTTACCTGGGGGCAGCTGTTCCATCAGACTCAATGAGAGAGATAAGAAGCCGGCCTCATTTCACCAACTTTGTTGGAGATCCAGCTCCATCATGCACCTCCTGTCTTAGAACTGTGCCAGCTGGTCAATAGAGGAACAACAGTCTAGAAATTGGTGCCCAAGTTTAGATTTTCCTCTTTCCACTTTGGCCATGTTGGACAGTAAGTCACTCTGGGAGTCTTTTTGGGCAAATGCAACAAACTAACTAACTAACTTACTAACTTCGCTATTTCCCAGGTTTTGATCACCCAGTCTTACATTGTTGGGGACCTTATCTTTCCCCCCAATTATGACAGGTTGTAATATGGGCAGCTGTCAATACATTAATAGCCATTTCTCTATCCTCTACTAGGACTTCATATTTTACAGAGGCAGTTTTAGGGTAGCGCGACCAGTTTGGCTGCACTGGGTGCCGCACTGCAGGGGATACCACAACAGTGCTGTAGAATGGAGCGCAAGAGGCTGGCGATGCCAAATTTTAGTGTCCCACAGAGCTGAAATTTGAAAGCCCCAAGTCCCCCACTGTCTTTTACACAACCAACTAGAACAACCAATGGAAGTAAACACCTTGTGATTATTTTGATTTCTCCAATTATACTGGGTCATAATTTCTTTCTTTTCAGACAGGTCCAGAAAATGCGCTGTCTGAAAACATATTTTTGAAACTATCATGCAGTTGTCTTCAAGAGATAGTAATGCGGGTGACACATGTTAATGTGCGTTGAATGAGTCAGGTCAATGTGTATTATGACACAAGGTTGCCTGAGGACTAGGCAACAAGAAAGCAGAGGTGGGAGGATCTGGGGAAATGAACAGGGGGAGGAAGGAAGCTAAGGGGAATGGAGCAGGAGGAAGGAATACAAGAGGAGGTAACAGAGCAAGAGTGGGATGCTGAGGAGAACATCAGGCAGCTGGATGGAACACTTCAGGAGCAATTCACAGAGCTGGAGGAAAGTGAACAGGAGAATATTCTAGAACAGGAAGGAGGACCACAGGAAGAGAGCACTGAGCTGGATGGAGCTATGCCGCAAGAAATCCCAGAAGAGATTGGCAGGGATCATGAGTGTGTCACAGGTATGGCTGGAGGAGCCAGGCCAAAGATCAAGGAGCAGGTTCAAGGTGGGCAGGAAGATTATATAGAGCAGCCTACAGAAGCCCCCAAAAGGAATACTGAGCAAATTAGAGCAAGCCAAGATGTATTTAGAGGGTGGACCACAGGAACCCATAGGAAGATCTTGAGGCAGGCTGGGAGATCCTGGGAAGAGATCACAGACCAAGCGGGAAGAGGGCAAGGGAAGATGGCAGAACAGGACAACCAAGGTCAAGAAGCAGGTCTAAAACTAGTCAAGGACCTCTTGGCTGTTGTTGCCAGGTCTGACCTTCCCCACGAGGAAAAGCTGGAGCTGGAATTTGTGACTCTCCAGTTTATGATGGGAGGCAACGTGCACTTGCTTGGGGAGCTACAAAGCCAGGCAGTGGTGGAGACCTTCCGCCAGGAGGTGTTTGCAAAGTTCCCAATCCCAGCTTTCCATGTGACGAGCTCGGTGATCTGTTGCGACCAAGCAGCCAGCCAAAGGCCCGAGAGACCCCAGGTCCTGACTGAAAATGGCTGCTCCAGGCAACAAGAAAGAATCTACTCCCAGCTCATCTTCTTCCTGTGCAGAGCCCCTTTCTTAAAGTCGTGGGACCAACTGGATCGACTGGCCGAAATGCTGCACAAGCTGAAGAACTGCATCTACTATAACCCGGTGGCTCTGGTTGGGGTCATTGTGCAGGTGGATCCAGACCCGGGTTTGGATGCAGAACAAGAGGCCCGGGCACGGCGCTGGCTGAGGTGCTTGTTAGATGGGTTCTTCTGCTGCGACTTACTGTTAGATCAGGACGGGACAGAGCCAGAAGTTCAAGTTCAGGTGGCTGTCTATCAGTCAGGCCAGCCCGAGAGGGCTTTAGAAGTGAAGAGAGCAGCATGCCAGGCAATACGAGCAGCTCTAAAGTTCTGAATTGGCAACACAGATGAACACTCTGCTCACATCAGGTAAGGTTAAAAGAACAGAGCAACACGGACTACTAAAATGAGTTGGAATCTAGATTCAAGGGGACAGCAGAAGCAGATTCTCCATTCCCCCTCACTGGTCCAGGCCCTAGGAGATGAAGCAATTATGTGAACGGTTGCAGAGCATGTTGGAATTAATTAATTCACCCATGAGCGCAAGGCAATCGGATGGTTGCCTGACCATTACTTAGATTTCACATCCCTGAATGTTGGTTGAAGTGTATGGCAGGTGGTGTATGGAGCGTTAGGGGAGGGGCAGCACATCTGGTGGTGGACACATCATGCTCCTTCAGAGGTAGTTTGTCCACCTTTGGCCCCCACCCTCCACTCAGCTCTCACCTGTGGTTTCTAGAAGCTGCCAGCATGCAACAGCAGCCACACCCCAGGAATGGCTTCAACTGGCCCGCTAAACCAAGTGAGGGTAGCTAATGGGTCTCAACCCCTAAGTGAGTTAGGGACTTCCCCTGCATGTGAAGACACACTCCGGCAGATTGGGCGGATGAGATCAATAGTTGGTCCAGCGGTCAAGAAGGCTGTTTCTGCTCGTGCTGTAGAGGGAAATGAGGGGCAGATGGGACTAGTCAACCTAGGAAGGGTGCCCATTTAGGAGAAGAAAAACTCTTGATGCTAAACCTCCGCTGCCTTGTTGGATATCTTCAGAAGAAAAGGCTAAGGAGTAAACCCTACACAAATCCAGAGCGGACTTCCTAAGTCGGATGGTGTCTTGTACACCTCTGGCAACTAAGCTGGTGCCAAACATATTGCTCTGCTTTCCTTTGGACCTCATCAGCGAGGCCAAGATGGGAGTGTGGTCATCTGGGCAGCCCAGGAGCTTCATACATGCTGCCCAGGCTTGTGTGCCAGGGAAGTCACTTCAGTGCTGCTAACACAGTGGTTTGACTCCCAGAGGCACACTCCATTGTCTCTCGGAAGGTGCCAACAATGGCAGGAGTATGTTGAAGTTGGCAGCTAGACTGAGCTGCAAGGCTACTAGGAGCATCTCATAGTTGTTAAAGCTGTTCCGTGTAATAGGCAAATATTCTGCACACATTCTTATACTGCACTTGTATCTACATACCTAGACTTGTAATACCTAGATCATAGGTGCTAGAACAATGCAAGGCCAAAGGGCTTTTTGAAACAACATGCCTCATATCGCATCACAGCCATGGAAGGAGAATCTTGCTTCTGCAGAGTGCCCCTTTCTATGCTGCAGTCTCATTTCACTTTAATCCAAGGCAGTGTGTGTTGTGATACTGTTTCCTGGTTTTACAAACGGGCTAATATAATCCACAAAGGTTGGCCACTTACGCATCTTCCAAGAGAGAAAACCTTACCCTACAAAAAAGAAAGAGGACATAAATCTCCATAGGCTAATTTATATTCATAGACACAAATTTAGAAACATTTATTAAAATTCAAATAGAAATACAATGCATCTCACTATAGTGACAAAGATGGTGATCAGGTGAGCTGTGGGTCTGCTCAATCTGTTGTTCAGGTGGCTGCTGTTACATGCTGATAGCTTCTAGAAGCCACAGGTGATAGGAGAGTGCAGGCTGCGGGCCAAAGGTGGGTAAACTACCCCAGAAGTAGCATAATGTGTCCTCCACCAGATGTACTACCCCTCCCCTAACCCCCTATATGTAACCATGCACATACATTGTTATTATTAAAATCTTAGCCATCAAGATTGCAGGGCAGTGGTTTGAGAGTTCTTGGCCAAAAAGCAGCATAGCCATTTATTTCTCTCTTCACTTATGCTATCCCCCCCCCTTTCAGATCATTCATATTCTTCTGCAATTCCCTTTTAACTCTTCCATGGCCACACCTCTAAACCTATTCTGTTGTTCTGGCTAGCTTCCTCTGCTTTTTTCAAGTCCCACCACAAGACCGTCCTTCTAAAAAGAAGAAAGAAAAAGACCTGTAATTAAATCACTCTGGTCCATCTTTTATCTTCTATTGCCTTTTCCGTGTCCCTCAAAGTCAGGGATTGACAACGCAGCACCCACAGACATCAGGGTGCCCACCAGAACCTCCTACTGTGCCTGCAAAAGGTCTCAGCAAATATCCCCTAAAAACCCACAATGCAGGAGATAGCTTGCTCTTCTGACTCAGTTCCTGCACTGGCTCAGTCTCTTCTACACACCCCAAAACAGCCATTTTGTGACGGGCACCCACGGACCTTTCTCAAAATTCTAGATATACCCACTGGCCCCCAACAGTTGGAACCCCCTAGTTACTACAGTTGTTCAAACCCGTCTCATACATGTCATGCTTGCAGGGCTCTTGATATAGCACCTAACAAACAGAAGACACTAAATAGATGTTGAGTCTGATTATCATGGTGGCTAGTCCTATTGGGACTTGGGTGGAGCCAGAGTCAATGACAGGCAGAGGCAACTAATTCTAGTTTCGCCCCACATCTTCCTCCCTGCTAAGGTCTACAATGATAGGATTGAGGTTAAGGAGAAGGAAGCTGACAAGTCAGTGGTACCTCCTGGACTGGATGTAAGGAAGGCAGGCTTCAGTTGGACTATAGTTGGTGGGGCAGTTGCCCACATGCCCCAATGGACCAGTCTCCACAGCTGCTAAATGTCAATTAGCACTGGCGTAGGTGGAAATTGGAGCCAAAAAATGCAGCAACTCTATGCATTACAGTGGTACCTTGGGTTACAGACGCTTCAGGTTACAGACTCCGCTAACCCAGAAATAATACCTCAGGTTAAGAATTTTGCTTCAGGATGAGAACAGAAATCGTGCGGAGGCAGCGCGGCAGCAGCCTGAGGCCCCATTAGCTAAAGTGGTGCTTCAGGTTAAGAACTGTTTCAGGTTAAGAACGGACCTCCAGAATGAATTAAGTTCTTAACCCGAGGTACCACTGTACTATGTGACATGTAGAAATGTTTCACAATAAGCTTGTTACTTTCAGATTAATTAGCAGTCACCTACTTTAAATATTCATATTATGTTGTTTTTATTTACAGCTCTCCAGTAATACTCAGGATCTCATTCATCACTGGAACATCATTTAAAATTCAGATTATTCCCTCCAATCTCTCTCTGTGTATTTTAATTTTGGAATTATTTACACCCAGCATTTAAATGCCTAGTAAATTGGTTACTCTCAAGAGGTGGGGAAACGTAATCTATGCAACCAGCCTACTTGATATGTTACAGCCAGTTACACAAGCGAAGAGAGAAAGGAGTATCACATATATTGCAAAGAAAGTTCTGGAAAATGTAACATGAGACTCCAAATCAGAAAATAGGTAGTTTAGGGCCAGTCTGGATGAGGCAATGAAGCGTCGTGATTAGATCTTCCATCTCTTACTTTTTAAAAAGCAAAAAGTAGCTGGGTGGGGGAGAATTCAGAGTGGGACCATGGTTCTTGCTTTCCCTCTGTATAGACGGGTCCAGCCATGGTCTGCAACCTGTGTAGACACTAAAACTGGAGAAAAATACGAAGATCAAACACTGAGCGTGCAGATTATTTTATAAGGAAGAGAGAATGCCAGCAGACACTAAGTGTTTACATGGCTCTCCATTAAAAAACAAGAGCAAATACAGTGGTGCCTCGCAAGACAAAAATAATCCGTTCCGCGTTTTCGTCTTGCGAAGCAAGCCCATAGGGAAAATTGTCTTGCGAAGCAACTCAAAAACGGAAAACCCTTTCGTCTAGCGGGTTTTTCGTCTTGCGAGGCATTCGTCTTGCGGGGCACCACTGTACTAAGAGAAGGACAATCCCATCTCAAGTGAACTACTTGCAACTAATTTCCATTCGTGTCCATAAAATACATGGGCTTGTCTTTCCCATGTAATGACAAATCACTTGATTTTGACATAGCAAAACATGTTTATAAAACTTCCTTTTCACCACATATACTGGCTACTCTTTATCTAAAGACGTGGAGAGCCGTAGGAACAAAACAGTTCTCCTTTTAAAAATGATTTAATATGTCATTACCGGCTACTAGTCAGGTCAACAACTGGAGACCCCTGGGCCAGGGGCCAGCCCTTTGCGGGCTATCAGTTGGTTGTCCACTTGCCCAAGCCAGGGAAGAAGTGCAGCAGGTGGTATTCATGGCAAGAGAATTGGTCCCCAAGCAATTTTAGTGGGTGGACTGAAGCTGTGGTAGGAGCATCTTCAGAAAAAGGGAAGCAAAAGACAGGGAAATAACATCATTAGTTGGGGAACAGCCCCTCACTTTTCAAAGTATCACTCCCAGAAAGCCGGTTTCTTTCAAGGTGTTTAAAGAGTAAAAGTTGTTTGAATTTGTACTTACTAAACCCAATTTTGAATCTTTAGACCATTATACCAGTATTCAAGGCCCAAAGTCAACCACAGAAGTATCAATAGAACAGCAGATTTTAACAGTTGTATATACCCTTCCTAACTACTTCTGCTTGCTGGCACCATAGAGCCAGGAATTAGGTGGTCAGCACTTGAAGCCTTGAAATGGTTTAAGTCTTCAGCAGACATTATGCATTCTCCCCTCCCCGCAAAAAAACCCAACCTTAATCTTCATAGTCTTGAAAGGTAGAATCTGCAACCACCCACCTGAACACAACAAAAGCTTGCCAGAAATGATGCCACATGCTTCTGTAACCAGTCAAGATTTCTCATTGACCTTTTTAAGTGTGGAGAACTAGAACACAACTAAAGATGATGATATTCTGTATGGTAAAATATACATGTATTACAATTGCTAAAGGAATAGGATATGGATTACGAAAGGGTCACTGCTCAGTGGTAGAGCACATGCTTTGACTGCAAAAGTTTGCAGGTTCAACCCCTGGTGTTTCAAGAAAGGACAATTAAAAAAATCCTGGACAGGCTGCCTATTTGCATAAAAATTAATGAATTAGGTGGATCCATTGACTGACTTGTTATAAGATAGGGTCTATGTTCTTATAAAAATATCACAGTATTAAGTTTATCATTATTCCCAAGTGAGCAGACCAAAAGCTGCAAAACTGTTGACTACAGCCTAAGAGTCATTCATTCATTATCTATCTATGACAATAATATACAAGACAACATAGAGAAGAAAACAAGCACATTGGCTGGGAACCAGTGAGACTTTTGGCTAACAGTCTTCTCTCCACCTCAACTCAGACAATTCATATGTCCCTATTTCCACCAGTCTAGCCTTGGCTTTCATTCTACAAACCCACTTGGCATTATTTGTATAGATATTAGTTTTCAAGAAGAGTGTATTTGTAATTTTTACCAGGGCAGCCTGGTAACAGTTATGTTACCTCTGCAGCTGCAAATCTGTATCCACAAAAATAAAACACTCGGCATGGTGGGTGGTTTTTTCCCCTTTCAAGTTCAACAACAACAAGCAGCCTACTTAATATTTATCTTGCTGAAGAAACATAGCCTCTTGTCCATTAAGTCTATACAAATTTATTTATAATGACCTAACGTCAGCAAATTATGTTCAAAATGGTATTGCACTCCAAGTAATACCTAGATTTGAAGGACAGAAGAAAAGGCAAGTGAACTCAAATATCCAAATTTCTGAAACATTTTCAGATGCTGTGAGACAATAACATTAATATGGAAGAAATGGCACCTTACATATCCCGGGCTCAAAATACCTGGCCTTATTAAAAAAGACATTTTGGAATACGTTGTACCAATGGTTCTGCTAGTTGTATCAGTTTTGTTGTTTTAAAGACAGATATATACAGATATATATATATATGTATATATATATGTATGTATGTACACACACACACACACACACACACACACGTATAAAATATTGGTTGCTAGCTCTGCATGCTATGGACTATTGTCTCTTTTGCAGTACAAAGGACCATTTAATGATCGGATTGAAAATACAGTGATTTTCTAGTATGTTAGTTACTGCAATTAAGCAGCTTCTGTTTAACAGTCCAAGAAAGAGGGCTAAGACAGAGATGGACTCCAAAGTCCAGGATTAACAAAATGCCCAGCATATCATTTGAAGAGTATTGCCTGAGATAGTATTTGAAGGAAGACATGTGGGGCCTCATTCCACCCTAAAATCCCAGAGCTGACATTGGCACTGGAAGCATTTGTTACAAGTTATCGTTCTGTTTATACTTCCACTGGAAGGAAAAACTTTCTGCTTATACTTCCGTTGGAAGTAAAAACAGTTACTAGTGGAAGCAAAAGCTTTTCCAATAACTGATCTTAATCTGTGTGTGCCAGCACTGGGTGAAAAAGCAGAGGGTGAAGGGTACTCATCTTCCCCTCCCCTCATTGCCCAAATCATGCAAGTCTCTCTTCTGATTATGCTGAAGAGCATTGTACTGAAAGCCAATCAAAGAGGTTTTGCAAGAGAATGTTGCTCCTTGGGAGCACTTAGGCAAAGTCAAAGTCTTTGCATTCCCACTGATCTACCTGGTCCCACGCCAAGGATTACCATTGATCTGCCAAGTGAAATTTGAATTTCAGCAAGGGTTTGTTGCTTGACTTAAACTCACTATCAAAATTTGAGAAAGCTATAGACAATGGAGTTGGACATTCTAGTCTTTAAAGTGTGATACTTGGAAAAGGATCCCACAGATTTCAACAGAAAAACGCTTCCAAGCAAACAAATTAGCCTTGTCATAGAGGGTCAACCACAGGAATAGAAGTTTGTGCTGATGCACCTAAGCAGCGTACTAAATAGTGGGGTGTACCTATGCTGCTCTACCAAGCTTCCTGTTGGAAAGTTCCTAATCCCTTCCTGCCAGAGGTGAACTTGGTGTAGGGCTTTAGAGTCACGTCTAAGAACACATGGACAACTCATGCCCCAGACCAGCACAAGGATCTTTAAATATGATCCTACAAACCACAACATCAGCCTAGCGGCTTATACAAGTAGGCTCTTAGAATGAGAAATGATCTACAGAATTAAAATGACAAAACTGGACAAATCAATGTAAGGAAGTATTATATATTAATAGCTTCTGTTATATAAATAACCTTTATAAAAATAATCTTTAATTCTAATAACTCACCTCTTTTTAGGTTCTGAAAAACATGCATGAAAAAATGTACTGAGGTTTAGGTTAGAAAAAAAAAATCAAATCTGAAAGTGTTGCACTAAACCCAATCCTCCCCACTAGCCAGACTTTTGAGGTGGTGGGAGAGGTAATCATTGAAACCCTACTAATACTGTCCAGCAGAATCTTAAGATCTACACCTAATAACTTGTTTGAAATAGTCAAATAAAAACTGAGAAAATTGCTACTCTAAAATCCACCAGTTATATCTGACATTATGAAGGCACGATCTTCTCTAATTTACTGACTGAAGTTCATGGGAGAGGAAAACTCTTAGGAGCAATTAATATTGCTAAGCTTTCCTTCTTTTGCAAACCTACATGGGCCCAATTTACACCAGACCAACTGGAACATGTGAACGACTGGTTTTAATGCTCGGCACAGATTCCCCAATCAATCAAACAAATCTCTGAAGTATACCTTCCTGGACTTAAGGCATAACATGACTGTACATACAGGAAAAGTTGTATTTGTAATACACAGTCTGTAGTGTTCCGAAACCCTGTTTAACGTATTTAAATAGCTTTGAGGTTGTTGTTTTTTAATCTTGCTGCAAGTTCAAATGCTGTTTATGGTTTGTGCAATTAAGATGCAACCAAACTTTACTGCCAACAGTGCAGTGAAACAGCCACAAAATGGGTTATCAGTTTTTCAGCACATTCATTTTTGTTTCAGTTCAAGGCATGTTGCTTGATTGTATGAAAGATCCAGTCCATTTTTGTTGTCCAGCCACCATGATGAGCATCATTCATCTGTTTCATGAAATACTCCAGTGCTTCCTGCTCTGTTTTGTCCAATGCAAGAGTCTTGCGAATATATGCAATGTCATCAAAAGACTGTAGTTCTGGCATCCCAGAACCAAGCATCATGGAGAAGAGGTTTATGAAAAGATTGGCATGCTGCCGGATTGCTAGATAAGCTTTATAACACATTTCTTGGAACCTTGGAGAGAAAAAGAAAAAGAAAAAGAATATATCAATCAGACCTATGCCACAGTTTTTGAGGATCATGAAACAAAAGGAGTACGGTACATAAAAACAGCTGCTAGTTGACCTTTACAGTTGAAAAGGCCATGATGCCATCAACAGAAAAGGCCAGGAGGCTATCAACATTTCTTTATCATGTGGCATTAAAGAAAACTATTTTCCCATTGAGGAAAAAATAATTTGTGCAATGCTTTTCATCATAAAACCATACCGCTCACTGTATTTAGCTTTCTCAAAAAAGATGTTCTGGAAATATAGGAATTTTTAAACTACTAAATTCAGAATCTAATAATTTGTGCACATGGGTCATGCATTTCCTGTTCTGCTTGGCCCCAGTTATTACAGGTTACAGGCTACACGTTCTGAGATATACATGAGGAGGAACATGCCAATTTCCCATTCTAGGAGTATTGTTTATTAAATTTGTATACCACCCTGCATCCGTAGATCTCAGGGTGGTTCACAACATAAAAACACATGATAAAAACTAAAAATACCTAATAAAAATAAGAGCTACCTCCACTACACAAGCCAATAAGCCCACACCCATGGCTTGTGGTTTATTCCATGGTGTTTAGGGAAACCTCTTTGGAGAAAATGTGTTTGGAGTGTGTGTGCTGCTTTCAAAACCTCTTTAGATGTGGACCATGTTTTCTGGGAGCTCCCTGTTTAGTTATTACATTTATATACTACCTTTTTTCTTCCAGGGGGCTCAAGTTGGTGTACATGGGTTCTCTTCCTCCCCATTTTATCCTCACAACAACCCTGTGAGGTAGGTTAGGCCAGGCTTCCTTAACCTCGGCCCTCCAGATGTTTTGAGACTGCAATTCCCATCATCCCTGACCACTGGTCCTGCTAGCTAGGGATCATGGGAGTTGTAGGCCAAAAACATCTGGAGGGCCGAGGCTGAGGAAGCCTGGGTTAGGCTAAGAGATGTTGACTGATCCAAGGTCACCCAGTGGTCTCCCAGGTCCTAGTTCAACACTGTAACCACTACAGAACACTGTAAAAACAAGTGCGTACCTTCTCAGTCACCCCAGGATTACATTGTCTTTGCTTTATTACACCCGTTGTATTTCAAAACCCTTACAATTATTATTTTTATAAAATAACGTATGAATGAAAGTTGTGAGCCACATTGTGCACGTAAAATTAAGGTAGCAGTGACAAAGTTCTGTATTCTGTGAACTGCCCTGATATTCTGTGAATCAGCCTGAGACCTGCAGGTACAGAGCGGTATATAAATTCAATAAAAAATAAAATAGTTCATTCAAAATATCATTCCCGCCCCAACCCCCGGCAGAAACATCACCCTTTCCTTCAGTATTTCAAGATAATATCTGATTAATTATATAGTAAGATTTGTTTATAACAATTAAACTTCAATTAAACCTTCAACTATAAAATGTCGTACCTTTCAAATTCCCTTGTTTTGGTACATTCTTGGGCTCCTTTACTAATCACTATCAAGAAATCTTGCGTTAAGACAAACGGCACACGCTCTCGTTTATAGCCAAACTTCTTCTTTTTGTGATCCAAGAAGTGTCCGAAATCAATGTGAAACAGCTTTTAAAAAAATGCATTTTTAGGTTATTAGTAATCTGGGAAAGCCAAGAGAATAGAATATTCCCACCTGCATATTGATCTGATATTTCATTCCAAGAGTCAATATGCAAAACAGCCCTGCACCAGCGGCTTTCATACTGTTCCAAAGAAACCTGGGATTTCTCAGAAGTGCAATGAACAGTTCAGTATAGGGAACAGACTTTCCAAAGGCACCACCATAAAACTGCTACTGAAATTCACAGCTGCACAGGGGTACTGGGTGTGTTTTAGGCCAATGTTTATTGTGAATATGTACCTTAGCCTAATGCCTCTGCAACCTACAGAACTGTTAGGGCAGATGCTTAAAAGGTTCATCAGAAGCAGAGGCAGAAAGTGTTTCCTGAAGATAAGAAGCATGATGGTAGGAAGCTTCTGCATTGCCCAAATACCTGCACATAGAAAGGCATAATCATTGTAAACATTTTTACCTGCCCATCATCTTTCACCATGATATTGCTATTGTGACGATCTCCAATTCCCAGTATGAAAGTAGCCACACAATAGCCAGCACAAGAGCGTGTAAACAAATCAATAGCTGCATCATACCTATTAAGAACAAAGAACACATGAAATATTGCAGGTGCCATTGTTTAGGACTTGTAAAAGAAAACGATTCAGACACGCAACGTAGATGAGTATTCCCGGAAGCCACCTCTTTGGATGGGGGAGAATTCAACATGTATTTTTATTTAAAACATTTTATGTCACTTTTCAAAATAGTTTTCCAACTAAAAATCAACAATATACCTTATCTAAATCCGAAACCAAATCTATGCCACAAATAAAACTGTGGATTCTAAAAAATTAACTATCAAAAGGCAGAAAAGAAACAAATGAAAAGTTTTGATTTGTCTTTCGAAGAAAACTAAAGATGGAGCCATGTGAATCTCTTGAGGGTTGGCGTTCCAAAGATCTGGGGCTATGACAGAAGAGGCTCTTTTTCTTTTTTAGTCCAATCTAGACTCAACAGATGATCAAATCTTTAGCATGATCTCAGTGGTAGATCTTAATTGTTGATAGGGCTCATACAGGAGGAGGCATTCCCTCAGATAATCAAGATCCAGGCTGGTTAAGACTTTGAATGTTAAAATCAGCATCTTGAATTTGGCCCAGAAACAGATCAGCACTCAAGTGCAGTTTGTTTTACAATAGGTTACAATATGAGAAAATCCGTTCAAATCCATCAGCAATTGTTTTGCACCAGGTAACATTTCCACCAGTGATGCTTTCCAGGCATGGCTTTGGGAAGAAATCTAGGGCCCCGCTCAGCAGAATGAGCAGGAGAGCCACCGAACACAGCAGGGCTGGCTTACCTAATCTTGAAGTAAGTGAAGTAATACACATCACTCCATAGAGGGTCCACTATAAGACCATTAAGATGAGGGACCATAATTTCCTAGATGCACCACCAGTTTCCACCTTTTCTATAGGTGATGTGTTATCGTTAACAGGCAAATATGCTTCCTTCATGGGAACTGAGGCTAAAAGATACTTGCCTAAATAAGGAATGATACATTTTGATGTTTGGTGCGTAACAGCTATCACACACATTCTACCTACGGTACTTCTGATTGGTGGCTGATGTAGTTTTGTAGCTGGAGGGCAAGAAGAAGGGATGGGGCTCCAACAGCATCATTTTGGATTGGTATTTTGGTGCTACCTTAAAGATTATTTTATGTCTGCTTCCCCAGGCCACTAGAGGTCCTGAACACCTGCTTCTCACAATGCAAGTGTAGCAACTGTGCTTAGAACTTCCTATCACTTGGGGAAGTGAAAAACCATGGGAAAATACAGTGGCCGGATTCTGCCATCAGAAAACTGGAGAAGACCAGTTAGGAATGCAGCTTCATTAATGTCTGCAGTTATAAGGTGGTGTGAACTAACCACTGAATCGTCCTAAAAACCATAACTAAACATTGCAGCCACAAACCAGAAAACCACGTGAGCCGCTCATCCATTGGGGATTTCACTTATTCAAGCAACGTGAATGTCCTCCTGCATCACACAGCAAATTGTTTCAGAGACCTGGCAGACATAAAAGCAGCCTGTGATATAGTATAGGAGCTTGCTGTCTCAAGAAAACATTAACATGCCCTGCAAGAAATGAACAAGGTCTTGCCTGAATCCAATCTCTGGATGTGTCCATACTTCAGTTACAAAATACTGTGGCTTAAAACAGAAGGGGACCAAAATATTCTTAGGCTTCCATCAAAGAAAGAATAAAAGGGGGGGGGATTAAAAGTCAACTCACATTTCCCCTTTGTTCTTGTCTTTGAGCCACTGATGTAACGTATGGCTGTTGAATTGCAGTGCTCCTTTAAGGCCACCTTTGCACTGGATCTGCATGATTGTGTGTGAATTTCTCACAACCTCAATGAGCCCCACACAGTCGCCAATAGATAAACAACCATAAGGCAGCATCCTAGAAGAGCAATGCGAGTTTTTTTTTTAAAAAAAGACATCGTAATGGCCACCAAACAAAACACATAGGCACTGAAATCTCTATGTAATAATCAAACATTTAAGTCATTTGGATAGACGACCAGCAGGGCCATGGTTTATAGAACTACTACACAATTAATTCCAGCCCCCCAGGGCAACATTGGACTTGCATTTCTAGAACAGCAGCTCAAGGCTACATGAGAAGTCATTTTTTAAATAGAAAGGAGTTTAGAAAGCAGTTTGTGGTGTGGAATGGGCCTGCTCTCTCATGCAAAATATCCCACTGTGTATGTACAAAGTCGCTTTTTGGATCCTAGCCCAGGAAAATGGTGGACACATGCAAGAACATTAAATCATGATGATACTTGATTTTGCAGCCATTTACATATTCACTGCATACTGATGACAACGTTAAGCAGTAATCTGGCTGATTAGATACAGAAGAAAATTTAAAACATTTGTAGAATGGTAGTTATTGATTACAATAAATAAACTAAAATTTTCTGCAAACTCTTGAACCAAATATGTTCTTCTTCAGGCAGAATGATAAACAAAACACAGACTGCAACATTAGCAAAATTTATGAATACTTGCCTAAGATCAAGCCCTTGGTTTTGCCAGATGTTTTCCATGATTCTTATGATTTGAAGTGTCAACATATCCTGACGTAGATCTGAAAACATGCAAGTGAATGCAGGTTTTGGGAACTTTTGGAAGGCATAAAACAGCTTCAACAACTTTGTTTTTAATGAGTGAAATCAAAGTTTTGCACGATAAGCTTACTCTGCTCTGTTATCAATGACATTTAAAATGACTGCGTTTAAAAAATCAAAACACCACCTGTGACAAAAATGTGAAATCAAACTAATTCTAGAGATTGGGGGTAAGTTATTATAGTCCACTACTTCAAGTCTATGGAGGTGAATATCTTCTTGTTCCAACAGGCTTTTGGGAATTAAAGGGCTGCTGTGCTGCTGTTTTTACTGTAATTACTTGTATATTGTAATTATTGGTATGTTTAAAACAGATTTTATATATATCTATAGTTTAAGTTCTATCAATATTGAATTGTATTTTTTTTTCATGCATAATTTTTATTAGTTTAAATAATAAAAAATACAAAATACAAAAATTCAATTCTCATTTTCACAGATTCTTTTTGTATGACTTCCTTCAACCTTTCCGCAAATCATCCGTAATAGTCTTTTGTAAAAGTTCACATTTCTTAATTTGTATTGCCTTCAATCATCCTAGTTCTTCCATTTCTCTTTGGACAATACCCTTTTCTTTTTACAGAGCTCCTTTGAAACCCACTAGTGTTATCTGTCCGTCACTTAAATTTTCCAGATATTTCGTAAAACTTTCCCAATCCTTAATGAACCTCTGGTCTTTTGAGTATCTAATTTTCCCTGTCATCTTATCCATCTCCGCATAATCTAATAGTTTTGCTCTCCATTCCTCAATTGTCGGCAAGCCCTCAGATTTCCAATTTTGAGCTAATAAGACTCTTGCTGCCGTTGTTGCATACTGGAACAACTTATGATCTTTCTTTTTTATCTCCCTTCCTACCAATCCCAACAGAAACGCCTCGGGTTTTTTAACAAAAGTATATCTAAAAATTTTCTTCATTTCATTGTATACACTCTCCCAAAACCCTTGAACTTTTTGGCATTCCCACCACACATGGTAGAAGGACCCCTCCCTTTCTTTACACTTCCAGCATTTGTAACAGGTTCCGTACATTTGGGCTAATTTTGCAGGAGTCATATACCATCGGTAAAACATTTTCATTAAGTTCTCCTTTAGTGTCACATAAGCTGTAAACTTGAGATGTGTTTTCCAAAGTTTCTCCCATTCTTCAAAATATATATTGTGACCGATATCTCTAGCCCAATGTATCATTACCGACTTTACTTCCTCGTCTATTAAGTTCCATTCCAATAACTGATTGTACATTTTAGACAGAATTTTATAATTGTTATTCAATATCTCAATCTGAAATCTAGAATCTTTATCAGCATATCCTTTGTCTGTAATGTCTTTCCTAAACATTCCATTTATCTGGAAATAGTGCAACCAATCATAGACTTTCTCTTTGACCTGATCGTACGGCTTCATTTTCCACTTTCCTTCTTCTTTCATTAACAGTTGTTCGTATGTAGCCCAATTACCTCTCATGTTAATCTTTTTCACGCTCATCACTTCTAGTGGCGATAGCCAATGGGGTGTTTTAGGTTCTAACATATCTCTGTTCCTCTCCCATACCTCAATCAATGGACCTCTAAAGATATGATTTTCGAAGCCCCTGTGTACTTTTCTCTTCTCATGCCAATACTGAATTGTATTTTAATGATTAATTTTTCTATGCTTTTAGTGGTTCTTGCTTTTATCCGTAAGCTGCTTTAAGTCCCATCATGGAAAAAGGCAGGGTATAAAGGTATAGGGTAGTATACAAATTTAATAAATAAATAATAATAAAACAACTTTATATTGGACTACAGCAGAAAAGCTTACCAAGTGCTCTGGTCCCCCACTGCCAGCCACAACCTACATAGGAAAGCTCTTTGGACAGGAACAGAGTGCACCTCAAACAGCCATGTTGGTTCCCTCAGCTAGCAAACAGAGCAAGCGGCTCCTGCTAATCTGTGTGCATGTGCCCTCCCATGCTAAAAGAGAACAACTGCCTATGTGCAAATGCCACAGCACTCTGCTCTGTCTCCCCTGGTGCAAAATTACCATACAACAAGATAGTGATAGCTGGGCGCTATCTGGTTTTCAGCATCGTGATGTATCACCAGCTAAACATCACGATATATTTCTATGGTAGACATAGTGATGGCATTTGCATTATTGCTCACTAATACTGTGTAGTGGAAGGGGTTTCTGTGTGTTTTTGGCAAAAATGAATACAGTGGATGTTAATATAAAATTCACAAGGATTAGGAAGAAATCTTTTACTTTGATGTTATAACTTATAAGTTGGAGGTATAAACTGAATAGAGGGGTTTAAGATGGTTAGGGCGATGAAGAAACACATACAGGATACAATGAAATATACTTCCTTACCATCTCCATTTTTAAAGATGATTTCATTATTCTGAAACAGCAGCTCAGACATGATATCTGGGTTTTCCCAATTAAGCCAAAGTGGCCTTTTAGCAGATGACATAATCCTGCACTCCTCAAGCCTATGAAAGGATAAAATAGCTGCTTAAACGAGTGCACCTTCAAACTGACATAAATGATTATATTTGTACAGACCTATTATTATTATTATTAATACTACTACTACTATTAATTCACCTGCAGATCTCAGGGCAGTTCATAACATAAAAATACAATAGAAAAGCAGAAAATACATGATAAAAACAAGAACAAAAAAACAAAACCAAACAATAACCCCTACTCCCCTACCCCCACTTTTAGCTCAGGTGTGGGGAACATTTTTGGCTCCCTGAGGCTGATCCTGATAAGCCTCATTGCAGACCAAATAGGATGGATGGTCAGCAAAACGCACCTGTCAATCACATGACATCATTAGGACATAACAGGATTGAGAGACAAGTTGTTCTATCCACCAGAATGGAAAGTGTCCCCATTCTGTGAGCAAGGTGCACTCCTACCACCCACCAGCTGATGGGCAGTTGGGACTTTAAGGTCCTGATTGTTCCTTTGAAGCTCACTACACACCTGAAGTCATGTATGGTGTCAGGTGTAGAGCTGGGGGGTGGGCATGGCTTCCACAAAATGTGCATTTCATGGGCCAAATGGAGGGGACTGTTGGCCAAGTCTGGCATCTGGGTTGGTGGTTCCCCACTACTGTCTTAAACCAAAATGCAGCATTACTTTTCACATCTAAAGGGCAATCTCCAAGCATGATGCAGTTACAAATAAAAAGATGGATCTATGTGACCTAGTTTTAACTAGAGGACAGGATTTTAGAAAAAAGGTGACTGAGGAGGCTCTTCATGCAATTGTCCATTTTAAATGTTCCAGATACATTCATGCCTATTTATGAAATCTGAGAAAGATGATACCTAAGATTTCCAAGCTGATGAGCAGGATTGAGAGGAGATATAAAGCCTTGCAGTGCATCCATGAAGTCTGGCCGCCTCATTTGCTCCACAAGGAATTTCATCTGTACCTGATGGATAACAGCATCCAAATATTGACGAGCTCATCAGTCAAATACGAATGAAGGCAGTGTTTGTGACCAATTTCAATTTTTAGCATGAAGAGTCATGTTTTCTTAAAAAGCTTTTAAATGAAATATTTCAACTCTAAGTGCTGAAGAACGCATCCAGTGCTAAATTTATCAATTTACCTTTTGGGTTTCATCCTTTTTCTCCTGTTTAAGGATGTCTGTGAGGTTAATAAGTTTTTCCATAGCTTCTACCTGCCTGCTCAAGTGTTTAAGGTACATCCCACATGCTCGGCAATATGACTCCAAAAGCAGACCAAACCTCTGGCTCACATTTTTGTTGTGCATTTCAGACCTAACAGAAGGCATAACTTATGGTTAATTTTTAATAAAGCATTTGCTAAGAAAAAAACTATGTATTCAGGATCACTCACCAGTTAAAAGAGTATCCACTAAGCAAGGATGGGAAAGAACCATGCCCCAAACTTTAAGAGAGTCAATCAACTCTATATTTAGATTAGGGGTTGTCAACCTGGTCCCTACCGCCCACTAGTGGGCATTTCAGGATTCTAGGCGGGCGGTAGGGGGTTCTACAGCACAAGTTGAATCCTCCTTCCATCGAGCACTGGTGGGCAGTAAGGAAATTTTCCCATCAAGAAAGATGCATTAGTGGGCGGTAGGTATAAAAAGGTTGACTACCCCGATTTAGATAGTAAACACACACCCCCACACCCCCACACCCCGCCACACCCACACCCACACACCATTTACTCAAGATTCCATTCTTCATCTCAGCATGAAAATCAATATATGGTTTTCTAAAGCTTTTTATTTTTATTATCCTGATGCTATATTGTTGCTGATTTAAACAGAAATCAACATTCTGAACCAAATCTCTTGCATTCATCACTGAGGCATTGGAAGGACCCAAAGCCCAAGAAACAGTTGCAGTATCTTTCTGAACATCAAGCCAAAATTTTTATTTTTTAAAAAAATAATAGTAATAATGGTGCTTTCAAGTGCTTTATACATAAAAAAATAAATAAAAGCACAGGATGGTCAAGATCAAAATTTCATCTCTTTATATAGGAATCCATTTAAAGTGGAAATCCAAACTTACTTTAAATGCCAAAAGAAGAAATGTCCTATTCTTTGATTGGTCAGTGCCTTCTTCAGTAAAAATCTCACGAGCAGATTATCCAAGTACTGCTCGTATTTCAGAACCTAGGCACAAGAGGATTGAAGTGTAATTGGCATTTAGCTATATTCTGTGGAAGACTTCAAGGTTTTGCCACTCTGCATGATATATCACAATCCCATAGTCGCCTTTGACTGACTTAACCGTCCTGGGTCCTTTACCTTTTACCTATAGCCCAAGCTTGTGGATTATAACTTACCTACTCACTTTGGGTGAATATAAATTGCCCTCCCTCTTTAGTGACCAGGGCTGATCCAGAGCCTCTAAATTACAGCTTGCCTTCAGCACTATCTAGCCCTTTATAAAGAAATCTGAGGAAGTTCTCAATCTGGATATGTGAATGAGCCCAAAGTACTGCTGTGCCTCAAGCTGCCTGCTTTATTTTACAAACAGTGCAGTTGCCCTTGTATTATGTTTTGTGTCTAATTCTGTTGTCCCCTGCAGTTTTCTGAGATAGCTTATAATAATAATAATAATATAATAAGCTTGATTATACCTACAATATAAACTATGTTGTAGGTTTACATTTGCATTTATTTGCTGCTACATGCCCTAAGGCAGAGTCATTTGGAATGGGGAGGAGGGGAAGAGAAATAATTTATTCTTTAAAGATCCCCGAAAGTTGAAATGCTAAATATTTTTCTCCCTTTCAGTTCTTTCTTCTTTCCTTTATCTTCTTGGCCAAGAACCACCATTTTATACCACTGCTTGTAAGGGTATTGCAATGAAAAGATATAAATATTGTTTCTTGAAATCCATAGATATAGCTAACCATAGGCTGGTAACTTGGTGGAATTATTTGCAATGCTGCACGAGCCTTTGCTCATTTCTGTCTCGTAATATTACTCTTTTGGGGAGGGGGTGCTATCAACCTTTGAAGTGCTACAGCAATATATTATCCAGCTATCAGCAGTGGTCAGCAGAACGATCTTTAATACGCAGCCAAGCACTGTGCTAACGTTGGTAAGCTTTAACCTTTCGGAGATATTCTGATTCTCATCATGCATAAAAGTTATATAAAGTCTTAGCATAAATTTCAGGCACAGTGGCATACATTAAGAGGCAGTTGACTAAAATAGATTACAGTACCTGTACCAGCTGAATCAAATACTGAGAGAGTTTGTCATCTGTCAGATATTTTTCTAGACATCGAATTGCAAACGCTCGCACCATCGGATCTGGGTAATTGCAGTCCAAAAGCTCCATCGCCTGTTCAGGCTTGATGGGAGGCCAGTCTTTTATCAAGCAGTACATCTGCACAGTTCAGAACAATGAATTTGTATCAGTCATGAGAACACAAGAATGGTCTTGCTGGATCAGATGAAATTCCAACTAACCCAATATTCTACTTCCAGCAGCAGAAAAGGCAAACAAACATCTCTAGACGTGCATAAACAGGATATGAAGATGACGGGCTCATCCTTTTAGCTTTCAGCAACTGGTGTTCAGAGGTATACTGCCATGAAAGCTCCAACTGCCATGGCTTGGGGTAACAAATTTCAAATATTAATTATGGGCCGTAATTATATCAGGAGGAAATTGTGCTAATACTACTGAAGAGAGCTTATGGGATCCTGTTACAACAAAAATGTTTTATTAACTAAGAGGTAAGAGAACAAAACTAAAGTCATATCCCACCCCCCATTTTTTTTTCCCATCAACATGGAAGCTATTATAATGAAAGTCTTTGACCGAGGCTACTGCTAACAACTGTAGCCAGTTTAAAAGAGGGTATAAGTAACGGAGATACTACCTGGGCTACTTCATCTCTAGAGTTCCATTTGACAGACAAAAGCAATTTAGGTAGGATTTCTGGCGTATTTACACAGTAATGCCTGCAAAAAAACCAACAAGAGAAGGGATTTTGAAATAAAAATTTAAAGTATTGTTGTCATTACTACATGGAACTATTTAGTATGCTGGTTATAGATTAAAAAAAATAATCTTCAGGAGGCTTCACAAAAAGCCAAAGTTTTGTGGGTTAAGCTTAGGGGCAGATGACAAGCCCCGTTCCCTTCCCCAGTTTCTTTCCTTTCCCACTTAAAATGCAATCCAGGGAGCGTCATGCCTATGACTGCCCACCTACTTTTCATAGTCCTACTTATGACCCAATGTCATACCTGTGGCTCCAAAGGAAATCCTTTTCTTGTTCAGTTATTTCAGACAGTGGGTCTCGAGTGCAGATTGAACGCAGCTGCTCTTTGTCACAATCTCTTAATTCATTATCTCGTGCTAGTCTATTACTCTGTAAAACAAGAGAGCAACGGAGACTTGTTCATACTACAATTCTCTCTCTCTCTTTTTGAATACTTAAAGCATCTCACATACTTCATCTCAGTAGCCCTAACAACCACTCTGTATTATTAAACCCTGTAGTTGATGGGTTGGGGAGACAGTCGCTTGCCTAAAGCAATCTGATAAAACTTCATGAGTGAGGTGAGAACTGGCTTGTAGTGCATGTTCTTAGCCACAATGCAACCTGGAAAGTAAAATTCTCCTTACCAGTCCTGCATGACTGTAGTTAAACCCTAGTTCTCGAGATATAGTCCAATTGGCATGGTCTTCAATTACAGACATGTCGGGAAACTTAACAGGACTGCTAAACCAATCAAATTCCAGCTCTAAACAAGGAGTTTCCTAAGAAGAAAAGAAGTTTGTCCTTGTATGATTTAAAATATTGTTTTTTAATATATATAAAAACACACTATTCCACAAGTACAAGCTATGCAAATACAAGGTATTTAAAATAATAAAACCACAGGATCAGACAAATTAGTCTTAAGTCTCAGGAGAAACACCAGCTGTCTTCAGAAGACCAAGTTTTATTGCTGCTAGTCAAAGAATGAAAAGACCCCAACAGTAGCTTGCTAAAGTTGCGTTCTTCAAAGCTGCATCCGTAGTAAACTCAATTTGGACTTTGGTAGAGACATTAGTCCCATTGTAACCTTTGTGGATGGAACAATTCAGGCTACCTAAAGTTCTGTATCACTAGACAAAATCCTCACAAATTGCACAGCATTTTATTTTGACAACCTTGGCAACAGCACTCCAGACTGCAACTAATGGCTCAGATAACTGCATGCTCCTCTGTGAAGGCAATTTTTCCTATATCGAAAGCTGATATATCAGTTACAAGGGTTCTAGCAGGCTCCTCTCCCCAACATGCCAGTTTTCTACATGCACAGATTTATTATTTTTTGTGCACAGAAGCATAAATTATGTGAGCCCCTATCTACAGCCCGAAATACTGCAGTTTATACAGGGTTACCATTGTTACATTTTGGAAACAGTGACATTATCTTATTAAAATACAGGCTACCATTAGAATTTACTTGGACAGTCCTTGATTTAACACAACGAACTGTTACTAAATAAGCCAGAAATTGGCATGAAATGTCCATTTACCTTATTGGGATTTGATCCAGTGACTCCAATGGGATTTAGCAGGTCTTCCAACCCATGGGGTACAGGCCACAGATTCAGAGCCATTTTGCCAGAAACAAGAGTGTCTGTGTAATCAAACATGTTAATATTCCCCCACGCCAATGGACAGTGCTCCTTAAAAAGAGCAAATAATCACTGTTTAGTCTCGTCTATTAGCAACACATTTCAAACTCAGATATAGAGGAATTAAAAGGGCAGGGGCAGACTTTTTTTTTAAAAAAAAACCCTCAAATATACGATGACAAAGTAAATCATAAGTGTTACCATTAGTTTAGAGATCAACACAGTATAAGTCAGAAGAATAATTTCAAATGAGATATTCTCCCTACTTGACAAGTATTCACTATATCCAATGACAAGACCCTTACCTCCTTTGCACCTTTCCTCCCTTTAACGGAGCAGATAGAAAGGCAAAGCCGAGCCGCACGTGGAAGATCAAGAACGTGCATCTCATACTGCAGCCACTCATTCCACCTGAAAGGAAGATAAAAGGGATTTGACCCAAGATCTTAACCAAAAGTGCTATGTAAAGATGCTTTAAAAATGATATGACAAATTAAAAAATACTAAAGCAATTCTGTGTAAACCAAGCCAAGTTTGAGTTGAATTTTCCAGTGTGGCATTCTACTTTTGTAGAACCATTGGAAGCTAATTTGACGGCTATCTACCCCAATGCCCTACTCTATGCAGGAAACTCAGAGTGAGAGCATTCCTGCCAGGTGGCTGTCCAGCTTCTGTTTGAAAATCTCCTGTGACAGAGAGCGCTCCATCCCTCTAGGTAACAGGTTCCATTGCTCTAACCTTCACAAAGTTTTGCAAATGTTCAGCAAATATCTACTCTCCTGTAACTTAAGGCCGTTAGATCAAGTCCTACCCTTCAAGGCAGCAGAAAACAAGTCTTTGCTTCCTTCTATGCAATAACTGCTTAGGTATTTGAAGAGTGCTGTTGAGGGTATTTAGGAAGGTTTTTTTTGGGGGGGGGGTAAAGCATGAGACTCTTAATCCCAAGGTCATGGGTTTGAGCCCCGTTCTTGGCAAAAGATTCCTGCGTTGGACTACATGACACTCATGGTACCTTCCAGTTCTACAATCCTATGATTCTGTATCAGATCCAAACAGAAAACTAAACTTCCAAACTCACTTTTAGATGGAGGAAAGAAAGACACAACATACACTGTAAAGCAATTATCTGAATTGTTAGTAAGTTTCTACAAACTTGAACATCAGGTTTCCTTTCATTGTTTTAGTGATATTCTTTACCTGGGATTGGAACAAGGTACTCTCTGAGTATTCACATTATCACATAATGGCTCTCCTCCATGATAGATGCCAGTTCGGACATAAATCTGAAAAAAATACGCTTATGAACATGACTATACTACAAGTAACCATGAAGTAGGAGTTACAAGATAAATATCAAGCAAGAGTAACTCATCTAACCCCTGTTCTAAAATAGTTGCATTGTCAGTTTATTTCCAGGCTCAATTCAAGGTGCTCACATTGGTGTTTAGGGTTTTAATCAACTTAGGCCACAAACAGCTGAAAGACCAACTTATTCCCTACAGACCACCTCAGGTGTTAAGATCAGCAGAGGAGCCCTCTTGGTAGTTCAACTGCTCTGTGACAGCTTCTAGGCTGTGGAATTCCCTCCCCACAGAGGCACATCTGGCTCCTTTAATATATAGTTTCCGCCATATGCTGAAGATGCACCTCTGATGCACCCTATTCTTGTGTCAGTAATTTTAGTTGTTTTTAATACTGATGTTTAAATTGCTGTAGCCATCGCTGAGACCTCAGGCTGAAAGGTGAGTAATAAACTGATGATGATGATGACGATGGTGGTGAATAATAATAATAATAATAATAATAATAATAATAATAATAATGCAGAATGCACCTTAGGTTTTGCCCAATATATGTAAATACTTCAAAAAGGCAAGTTATTTATTTGTTTCACACCCAGACAAAAAGTTTAAGGTTTGGTGGGCAAGAAACAGTAATGTAGAAACAAAAAAACCTAAGTATTTAAGAGTCATTCATCAGAAATATGCATGTGCTCTCAAGACATATTGAAACCAAGTTGTTGTTTTTTACCTTGTCAATATCTCGAATATTTACATTTACATAGGTAGCACAGAGAATCTTTATTCTGAGATTACTGTTAATAGCCCAGAGGGATTTGGCTGAAGCTTCTCCATTCATGTATGGTGTAGCTGTAGAAATACGCCTAGAATAAGATGGCATTGTAAAGGTATCCAATGGCAGCTGGGTGTAAAGACTTTCCTTAGCCATCAGCATCAAATTGGGCATTCGACCAAGCATGATACAACTCCGGATGTACTGAAATAGGCAGAGAAAACACAATTATTGCACTGGATGCTGCTCTTTGCAGCATCATTGCTTAATTGCAAAGATTACAATGCCGGCATTGTGAATGGTTTGCAACTCAAGGCGAAGCAGGAACCACAGTATAAGCGGTTTAATGAAGCTAGCGTGCAATATTTGTAGGGCTGGCAGGTCATTCTAAGTAGCAGATAATCACAAAGCATGCCAAACAAGGGACAAACTTGTCTTTTTATACTGGCACTTGGAGAAAAAGAAATATCCACATATAGACTGTTGCCTCACTAACGTCACATTCCTTGTATTTTCTATCAGAAGAAAAGAGAATGATAAAAAAGGGAAGGCTGAGGAAAGAGAACTTACAATTTTTGGTAATGCAGGTTTTTTGTTATTTCTGAATTATGGTTTTATTTAGTAGTGTAAATGTATTCATCCATAATGAACTTATTTTAGAAAGCACTAAGGGTGACACCCACTGTTATATAAGCAAACATCCTCTTGTAAAAAAGGACCTTACTTTCCTCTCCTCCGGCAGCAATTTGTGCCCCTCCCCACTGCCTTCCCCCCAAAAACACACCTCCTGCAGCAAGTTTTTGGGGGTGCAAGGGGTGGGGCACAGAAAATCCACTCTGCCAACAGTGTTTGTTCCAATAGCAAACAGGCACTACTGGATTTCATGAGAATATACATATGTGCAATCCTATATCACGTGATTTGCACCACCTCATTAAGTAAGATGTACCCATAAAAACCTCTTCATGACTCTCTGTCTCTACAAGTTTAAATATCCTTCTCTTTGAATTGAATACCCATTAGTCCTCCCCTCGTTTGGTGCGGCTTCTGATTGGCTGCAGGACGCTCCTGCAGCCAATCGGAAGCTGCGCCTTGGTTTTTGAACGGTTTCAGGAGTCAAACGGACTCCCGGAACGCATTCTGTTTGAGAACCAAGGTACAACTGTATACTAAAATGTTTAAATGTTTCTTTAATTGCCCTTGAATCTTATCACCACACTTGTCACCCTCTCCTGCCACATCAGTGTGGTGTGCCACACCCTTTGAGAATCACTGAATTATGTGCTTTTGACCGCAGACTTTAGTTCTCAACATTCTAACAAACCATGTGTAAGTTCTGTCCACATCCATGAAAAAGACACTAAGATCCTGGGCTTGTGCAGTGCTGCAGGTGCATCAGAGCACAGGGATGCAGCCCGACAGTCTCAGCACTGGCAAAAGTGGTTCTCACACCCACACCCACTCCATAAAAACCTCTGGTCTAGCCCTGGAATATAGCCCTAATTCATGCTCTTCCCTGCACATCTCAAGACACCACAAAAGCTGTTGTTTGCGAGCATCTGATTGTACCTCCCAAGCTACAGGAAGGGATTGATTGGTCTAAAAATGGAAAGCAATCTATTTCAATGTACACCTTGCCAAGTAACAGTAGGTGAACCACACTGAAAGGAAAATATCATAAACTTTTAACATCCCCAGTGAATCCGCCAAATCCGCCAATAAAAGCACATAAAAAAATGGAAACCTGGCTTCAGTACTTCATCTTTTGCACATATTCATATGCAAATCCCTCTCTTCCGACCCCTGAAATGCACACAAGATCTAACTCTGACAACAAGCATTAAATTTCAAAATGAACCAGATGTTTACTCACCTTGTATTGACTCAGGGGATGTTTTTCTAGTAAATATTCATCACAACCACATACTTTTAAAATATACTTCCCCTGGTACTCTAACACACAGAGCTTTAGCTGTTCAGATGACAGCAACATACTTCGTGTTTTTTTCCTGATTGCTTCAGCGATGACTTGTTCTGGCACATAATCGTGATTGATTTTTAAAGTGTACTTCTGCTTGTCATTGTTGGGGGAGACTATTACCCATATCACCACTATTATTTGTCCTGGAACAGAAGGAAACTATGTCAGGTTACATCAGGGATCATGCCCACATAACTATTTACAGAAAAATGAAAATACAGGAGCAAAAAAGACCTAAAACACAATTCAGTACTCTCTATCCAGAATATGCAATCTTTGGGGCTGCAGCAACAAGCTATAGGTTCCTCTTAGCTCTCCACTAAAGCAACTTTTAAAATGGAAAGGAGAAAGGCTGGGAGGGGACAGAACAATGGTGTGACCCTTCAGGTTTTTTGAATAAGACTGTTTCGTTGGAACTTTATTAAGCAATCCCTAACAATAACGGGGGGGGGGGGGGGAATCTGAATAATGCTGCTAAAGTAGAAGAAAACGAGTGCACTGAGCAAGCTACGACATGTCTGAAAATGTAACTATTTTCACTGAGCTGATTACTCACACTGAAGTGAAATGGGCATATGGGGGAAATGGATTGAATTTCACTGTTCAAGCAGCTTCACATTCATCTGGTACCAATCTGGCAAATGCACTGAATTGTGTTTTCTTTTCTTTTACCTTTATCAAGTTTATTGTATATATGCTTGGGCAGCTCGGGCGAAGATTCTATGTTTGGGGGACAGACATACAATGCTCTGCTATGGGGTGCGTTAGCATCTCGCAGATCTACTGCTTCTTTACAAACATTAAGAATGTTTCTTCTGAAGTCCTGAACTTCTGGATCCTTAACCAAGTCAAATTCACAGATAGGCATGCCAATAGCAAAACCTAAAAAAGAAAAAGGAGAGAGCAATTCTCTTTGATACATTTTCAGAAACAGTGAGTCCTCAGAGTATAGTTTCCTGTCACTCTGTCCTCTACCCCTTCCCACAAGAGCTCAGCTCTGTCTTGCTTGAACGGCTGGGCTGCTACAGCAATTGTCTCCATAGCTCAAGGGGCTGCAGCAGTGAAGCATATTCTGTACCCACTGCAACTATTCTGCTTAAGTAAGATTAGACATGTTCTGGAACTTTTTCCCAGGTCAAGCAAAAGGGTTCCAAAGGCTGTCACCAAAGTTTACTTCTACCCCATCTTCATATAAAGAAATGCCCATGATTGCGAACAATTATTAAATTTATAATAAAAAAAAGTTGACCCACTATCAAGTATGCACCATCACAATGAAAGCAAGTACAAGTCAACAAAGAGTGGCACTCAGGTAAAACGTAATTAACTGAGAAAACAGCTTAAAAGACAACTCAGCATAGCACAGTTGGCCTAGTGCAGATGTGAAGTGTTGAAGGGAGGGGAAATCTCCTCTTTGCCCTTCAACACTGTGATTCCACCCTCACCTGACAGCATCCAGTTGTTTGGTTACTGTAGCAGCACCCCAGACTCTGCAAAACCAGCAAATGTGACAAGATTCTCTTATTCTAGTGAAAAGGGTATTGCTGACTCAACTGCTTTTAATAAACCAATGTTCATTTCCACATCAGATATGTGCATGAATAGCTTGAATACTCAATACATGCTGTGCATATTTGCATTTCATATACCACTGTTAGCTCAAGATTATAAATGCAGAGGTCCCTCAGCCGTTTTATCGCTGGAGTACTGCACTCTAAAAATATGTGCAAAGTCTGTGTGCCTCATACAGACTGCCAACAATGACAATATCCTATATTATATGTGTGCTTTAATGGACTGAGGAACCTTTGGCCTTCAGTCCAAACTTGGTCCGCATAGGGTCTAATTGGCCCACAAGGTAATTTCCCCAAACCCACTAAATTATCAGCTGCTATCACTGAGTGATGTCAGCTGATGGCGGGACAGGGTTCAATTCTGCTTTGGTTGTTGTCACTAGTCCCCCCGCCCCACCTCCCCGGCCCATGGGAAACTGGCTTGTCAGATGATAAGCAGGGGGTTAAATCCTGCACGGTGTTGCTTTGGCAGTTTGATTCTTGCAAGGAACATACTGGTAAAGCAGACACTGGCAGACAGCAGATAGAAGTTTCTGCTCATTAGCTGATGAAGAGTTCAATCCTTCCAGGTGCTGCTTTGCCAGCACATTTCCAGCAGGCTCTGTCCCCCACCAGTAAACTGACAGTTTGGCAGGTTCACACATCTATCAGTCACCTATTATCAGATGATTGACAGGTGGGTGGTCTCACCTATCAGAGTTGACCCACAGGGTGCGAGGAAATAAATATCTGGCCAAACAGCGCACAGAAGGTTCCCCATTCCTGCTTTAATTAATAGCAAGGTCTCCAATAATCACGTTAAGAGCTTAGCGGACTTTGCAATCATGTTTTAATAAACAATTTGCAGTTTCTGACATGATGTACTCAATTTGTTACACAACCAAAAAGACCATTTACTCATAATTCCATCGCATAGTGGCTTTATCACATGACAGTTAACTATATTTGACAGTGGAACTAAGAAGGTTGTGGACTCTCTTTCCTTAGAGGTTTTTAAGCAGAGGTTGGATGGCCACCTGTTATGGATGCTTTAGCCGAGATTCCTGCATTGCAGGAGGTTGGACTAGATAATAGGGCCCCTTCCAACTCTACAATTCCATGGTTCCATACTCTCATGAAAGGCCCATAGGCTTTAGGGGAATCAAATTGTGGCCACTTTCCTTTACATATTTTAAAAATTGTACTGCAGACTGTCATGTGGCACATAAATATTTGTAACAAATGAATAAGCCTTACCAATTTCCCGATTCAGAATTTTCTCTTCTCTGTTGCCTACTGGCTCTATGACTTTTAGAAAAGGCTGGAAGAGTCGTAGATCACAAAGTCGCCGTGTTTCATCGAAAAATTCTTCCCTTTCTGCTTCTTGTGTAACACTTACGAAAATGTAAGAGGACTCATCTTGAAGGAGCTGATAGAGAGGGTATTTCCGAGCTTCTTTAAAAAGTTCGTGCTTAATATTTAACAAGGTGGCCTCACGGAGGCATTCTAAAGTCACTATCATGCCATTAGGTAGAAGACATTCTACTAGGATTCTTGGTGGCATCAAATGGATGCCCCACAGTTCACCGGATGATGGCCTTGGAGGCATTTTTATTAGGTACCTTCTCTTGAGATTATCAAAAGACTATGTTTGTAGATTCCTGCAGGAAAACCTAAACAAAAACAATGTAGTATTTAAGTAGCATGCACATGTCTTTCACAATCACTTTAAATTTCCATGTGATATTACATTTCCAGTACTTTACAGAAAATAAAAATACATGGGAAACAATCATTAACAATTTGCTCTTCCATCATCTGCCATAATCAAGTTATCGTGCCAACTATTGCTCAGCAGAAAGTGAGCAGCCATTCTTGCTTTGGGTGGAAGCACATGTATAGTGATCAACTCTTTACGTTTACCCAATAAAGGCCTAAAAAATAATAATGAACATGTCCTATACCCACCAAGCGTTGGAAGTCAGGTAAGAGGAAGAAAAGAAAATGGAAACAGAAGCCATCAAACTTGGCGGCAAGTCACAGGCAGGGCTTACCAGAGCAAACAGGTATGGCTGCCAGGGACACAGGCTTATTGTGAGAGGCAAGAGCTAACACTGCTCTGGCATGCTACAAACATCCTGGTACAAAAGCTGGGCTACAGAAATATTGCCATGACACATTCGTGGCTGTAGCTGTCATCTCCCCTCCCCAAACAATCTCTCTTGCAAAATACAAAAAGCCACCTGGTTGAGCAAAAAAGAGAAAGATGTTGTTTCCAACTGCTCTCTAGCCTCCTTTGTGAAGGTTTTATTAAAAACTCAAGAGACTTCACATCAGAATGAAGCAAATTTCCCACAAAACTACCCAGAGTTTTAACAGTACATGCCTTTCTTAAAAGCCGTCTCACCAATTTGCTTCTAGAAAATAAAACACTTTGGCTCCTGGACACTTGTATTTTCTGTCATTTCAGGAGATCTCAAGCTGTGGCATAGAGATAGCCTGCACAGAGAAATCTTTCGAGCCCACTCTGAACTTTGCTCACAGGATTTTACTTTAATCCTCTTGTTCCTTAAGTCAGTCAACATAAAAACCTTACTCAGTGCAAAGGATTTTTGGTAACAAATCTTAAGGCGCCTCTTTCGTCTGACACACAGTTTTCCCGCTACTGAAGTTTAGAGTAGCAGGAAAGCTATGGTATTTTGCTGTGCTGTTGCATGTCCAGAACCCTAGAGCTGTCAGCTAGCCACACTTCATATGCAAGCTTTGAAAAGTGACACCTGTCTTATGCAACAAGCAGCCCCCAAGGCACTTCCTGTACAACTCTTTATCTTCTCGAATATGCTATCTTGCTTTAAAATACCTAGCAGACACAACTGCAGAGACGTCTCAGACTGTCAGGGAAAAAACACTAATGGATCAAAATCAAGGTCAAGTCTATGATGTTTTTCAGTTCCCATTATTCTGAAGTATGTGAAATTGTGTACACCACTTTTTTTTTTTAAGGCATATCAGCCTTGGGGGACAAACTGTACAATGTGAGAGGTCTATAAACCCCTTCCCAACTAAATGAAAATGTAAGTGGGAGCTGTGAATTGCATTTACAGTAGTAATGTTTCCCTCGTTTTTTTCAATTTGCAATAAAGATCAACTTCTCTTCATAGCAGCCTTCCCATTTGCAAGGAGTGGGAGAAGGTGATGTGTGGCATGGTACCCAGTATTTTTTCCTCCAAGGATGGCAAAGCAGCCAGAGGAGTGAGATTTTTAAAAGAGATGTTACTTAACTGTAGAGTATGAAACCAAGGAACATAACATACAAATCATCTTGGGTGATACTTTGTAAAATGAATATTGTATAAGGAGTCTAGCATAAAAGTCCAAATTTCATGCATTGGAAAAGTCAATCAATTATAGAGATCATTTGTAGTGGTCTAACTAATGACATCCCACTATATGGAATAAAAAAATATTCTTGGTTTTCTGACCCATCAGAGACTTTCAAATTATGCAATCCCCCCTCCCGAGATTCCCAAATTCCAAACATTTTTATACCACAACAGTAGTTGCAAACCTTGCAGTGCATTCTATTTTTTGTGTTAGAAATTATAGCAGTTACCAACAGACATGTTACAAATTCTTTTGAGCGTAAGTTTTGCTTTTGATTGTCCCATTGATTTAAAAGTGAGAGCTGTAGATACATCTGCATGGGAATCTTCAGAATGTTAGAAATATATTGATATACTGCAGACCAAGAAATGCGTATAATTAGGGACTCCCACCACAAATAGAAGCATGCTTCCCTAGCCCCACAACCATGCCAACTATCAAACACCACCTGTGAGGTCATATGGGACACCTGTAGAGGCTTGAGATTTTGACCTCAGCAGTGATGCTCAGGTAAGAAGGTGCTTAACCCCTTCCTCCTGGGCCACTTTTTGCAATCAGATTTACAGGTCTCTAAGTCTGCATTGTTCTTTTGAAAGGGAAAGTGGTGGTGTGGTGTAGTGGTTAGTATCAGTCTGTGAATGGAGAATCCCAGGTTGAAATCCCCCCTCAGCTATGAAGCTTTCTATGTAACCTTGGGCCAGTTATGCTTTATGGAATTGTTGTGAGGATAAAATCTATGAGCATGATGGAAGAAGCTTGTACGCTACTGTAAGCAACTTGTAGGAAAGACAAGGAAATGATCCTCAAACAGGTACAAGAAAAAATGCTTATTAAATTGTTCAACATAGTCAGGGGAATCTTTTCCACTTTTGCGTTGTGTGTGTGTGTGTGTGTGTGTTATGCTCTGTGTTTGTTTCTTGTGCCACACCCCTAAAAAACAAACTAACAACCATCTCCTGGAATAACATACAGTTTGGCCCAGAGAAAGAACAGTAGAAATGGCTTTTTAAAACTCAGCTGTAAAGGAAGAAATTTTGTCTGGCAGTTTAAAGTTAAGTTCTATAGTTAAAACTGGAAAGCACACTAATTTTCTTTTTATTTGAGGAAGCAGGCAATTGAACTTTCCCATTATAGAGCGGTTGAATCAAAATAGCAGTTGGCATTTGTGTTTCTTCTTTTTCAGGAAATGGCAAGAGATTGTCTGTACTTAGAATGTGTATACATTTATTTTGCTGACACATGGAATTACGCCTCCAGAATGTAGATTTTTGGAAAGAAGGAATATCAAAGACACAGCTCTTTTAAAATACAACTAGCAGCTATAAGTATTAAACAGAAGGGATTACAGATTTGGTAAAGCTTAGAGTCTATAAAGACAATCCTCTTTAGTGAGCAGTGGAGAAAAAGAAAATGAGTTAGATCCAAAAAAGCTAGTTAAATTTAGGTCCCACTTAAGTCAACTGGACAAGTTAGTCATGACTAAATGAAACCCTTTTGAATTCAATAGAACATACTACTTTAGTTTGGCTCCAATCCTTCTACCAATACTTTTGTTACCAAAAAGTTAGATACCCTTTAATGCTATTCTAGCTTTATGTCTCTATAATCCCAATATCTCTCATAGTTCCTCAGCTTATATTTATTACTTCTGCAATTACAGATGCAAAATTTGTGAACAAAATAGTTACACCTTTTAATCGAAAAGGAAAGCAGATCTGAAATGTATTTTGGATGCTGCCCAAAGTACTATATTCAAACTAAGACTTTGCTCTCATTGAGCCACATACGAGCTAATTTTACTCTTGTTGACAGTCTTTGTTAATGGCTAATGTAAGCAAGTTGTCATGGCATCAAGATTTGAAAGGATTCCTTGGAAACAGCTCTCAAAACCTTGAAGCCTATTTCCAGTGCTTAAAGTTAGGACAAAGCTTTTTTCTGTATGTTTAGAAATATTTCCTACTCAGTATATTGTATTTACATGTTTATGAAATGTTTTCCACTTTGCACCTAGCAGAAACACAATTGAAATATTTTGATTTAACCTTTCATCTCCAAGGTAAATAATCTTCTGCGGGGTATTTTGCCAATCTATGGATCAGAATGAGAAAAACTGAGGAAAAAACAACTTCTACATACCTGCAACCTCTTATTCTCTTGGATCAGCAGATCCTACACAGGCTTCTGTTTCACATGATGATCACATTATTGGATGTTCTGTTATCTGTATGTTGTGAAGTACCAAGATGTGGATCTTTCATATAATCTAGAAACATTGCTACGGTCTTCTTTACACGAACTGTTTTTCAACTCTGGGAATTCATTCTGTATGAATCTTCACTGCAAGGATCTAAACTTATTATCATTTTGAACATATTTATTTCCAAGATTAGCAGAGCTGACTGAAGGTCAAGTGTCTAATCAAGGTACCAACCTGGAAAATAAAGGGAAAAAAGGAAATTCTCTCAACAGGGTATTCCAGGAAAAGAATTACTTTTGAGAGGAAGATCTGTATATTACAGGGACATTTTTTGTAGTGGGGAGCAGGGAGTGCAGTGCTTTACATTTCCTCACAAGGGGTCATTACAACTATTTACCTTGTCGCACAGGGGTCCACCTGGAGGAAGTGAACTTTTGGAAGCAACACAAACCAAGAGAATAACCAAGAACTAAGCACCCCCAACTTCCCAACTCTCCCTACAGCACTACTGCTATTTCCATCCCCCCTTGCTTGTGATAGAGTGGGACACTAGAATGTGATAAAATAATAGAAATAGGTATATGTATTAATGGCATGTATCAAGGTAGTTTCTGTTCATAAAGAAGTCTTGATCATTGCTACAGTAAGAAAGGGTTGCCATCTTCTAAGGCCTCTTTTAAGTTTGGCAGTGGTAAGGGACATGTTGCCAGGCCAAAGCAAGAAGTCCTGGGTCATGTGGGGAGCATCCCACATTGCACTACTTCACTACTCAAGCATCCTACCTCGTGGAAACTGGGGCAATGATAGTACTGGAGGCTTCTTTCTCAAAATTCAATAGTAAGGGAAGTAGTCAGTTCTTTCTATGACACTAATGTAACCTGAGATGATCCAGCATAGGGAGATGTGTAACAAATGTCAATGCAGTGACAATGCCGTAGTACACTCAAACCTCTTCTTATGTCCGCCTCCGCTTGCGTCCATTTAGTCCAACATCCGCGGCAAACCCGGAAGTAACCGGCAGGTTTGCCGCCATTCGCACCTGTGCAGGAGTGGCAATCGCCATTCGCGCATTCGCAGAAGCGGGCAATCACCGCCCGCGCCTGTGCATAATGGCGCCTCTCCCAGTGACCCATTTCGATCTCCAGACGGGCCTCTGGAACGGATTATGGTCGCAGGTAGAGGTACAGTGGTTTTCATCCAGTGTGCCGTGGCACCCTGGGGTGTCTTAGATGGTCAGGGGTGGCACAGGCAACACTGGCCTCTGTCCCTCTTTCCTTCCCTCCCTCCTTCCTTCCTCTGATGCCTTCTTGGGCCTCTGCTTCCCAAAGGCTTGCACAGTTGTTTCTTGCTGCAGCCTGGCTACAAGCTCCCCATGTGAATGGTGCTGCTGGGGCTGGCCAGGGGGTGCTTCCCAGGCCCCTGTGGGGCACTGTGAGGAGGCACCTCTCTTTGGGGTGGGGGTGGGGGCAGCTCAGAGACTGGGGTGGTGGTGGGCAGCTGTGGCTGCCCAGTGGACACCCACGGAGAGGGAAGCAGAGAGGAGGCTGAGCGAACACTCCACAAGGGAGGGTGTTCGAAAAAGGGTGAGAGGCTGCCAGCTCTGCAGGCAAGGGGTGACATAAATGGGCTCCTGAGACCCACAAGGGTGCCACAGAAAGAATGTAGTTGATCAAGGAAGTTGTGGACTCAGAAAGATTGAAAACATCTGCTGTAGTAGCAAAGGAAAGGCAAAGTAATTTGACTGCTGCAGCAGCAAAACAGAAGGTGTGCCCCACCGATATTCATCCCACGATTTTTGAAAACAAAATAACTTCACAATAATTTGTTAGGTTTTGTCACAAATCCCTAATTATCCAGAGTCTAGCATATGCTAATTTACAAAAAAGAAAGGCTAAGTCAAAAATCCTCCTTTCAGCATTAAAAGAATGAAACAGCAGCAACTTAGCATTCCCTTCATCTTTTGAAATGCTATGCCACTGTATATACAAACAGTACAAACAGTACTACAGCAAACAAAGAATATATTTAACACAAGGATAGACTAGATTTGCAACAAAAAAGCAAACTATTGTAATATGTGCAAATCAAAAGTTGTAAAGAAATTCATTTACTCCCATCAAATTCCATTTACTTCCTAGATTTATCGACTGAGTGAATACAGTGGTTTGGATGCTAAGAGAATTTAAGTTAAAGAAGTACATAGAAGAAAGGTTCCCACCACAGCCCCACTCTGTGCCTTCCCAGCCCCCACAGTCAGACATGGGTGGTTGAAGGAGGAAGGGATTGGAAAAGTGCCTTCAGTAAACTTCCTTAAGTTAACTTCTCTTAGGATATATTCCAGTACACTTAACTCCAAATATTTGTTTAAAATTATGTTTGCTTTCTATTTCCAAGCTTGGCTAAGACTTCTGCCTCTATTGTGCCAAAGCAACTTCCTGTTGCAAAATAAACAAGGTTTATCAAGAATCTAATTTCATCATATATGCAGATTGTTCACTCTTTCCCCCCATGCTATTTCTTTCCCTTAAATAACTGCCATGCTATTCCTTTCCCTTAAATAACCGTCTTTGTTCAACATGCCACTTCCCTTATTTTTTAAGCTCCTCTTTGAAACCACTTCTGCAACAGTTATATTTTGAAAAAACAACCCACAGCATCCTTCATCTGCCCCCTCTGTTCCACAGGATTCTTCTCTATATCACCTCTGCTTCTGGTTACTTTCGTCTGCTGCTCCAATCTTGCCTAAGAGAGTACAAAGCCCTGGCAAATCATCACTTTTATAGTCCATACAGCAGCTAAGATAACCATAGCACTACATTTTCAATAGCAATAGTAATGAGAAGTTATCCTACTACTAGAATTTTCTTGTTAAACTCCGTAAGGGAACAACTATTCCTTAAATGCAACATATTTCAGTTAAATTTGTCTAATGTTTGGAAACAGATCCCAGTATATTTGCCTCCCACTTCTTCAATGGTAACCAGTGTATTTTCAACATCAGCTTATAGGTTAGTGGATTCAAGAACATTCCCCAAAAGTGGAGTCCTGCAAAGAACATGAGTCACTTTCCCAGGGGCAACAATACTTGCCGATGTGAAACTCCTGTCCCCGAATGCCAAATTTTCAGCCTAGAAATCCCAAACTTCTAAAGTCTAAAGAACAAAATGTTTTCATTCTCTCTTCGGGCATGTCAGTCACTCCAGAATTCAGAGCAAGAACTGGCAGCGTTGCCAGCCTGCCTGCTTTTGTGGCTCTCCAAGTCTGTTGCATAGTGACAGTGGCATGGCTTGCCATCTTGATTGTGTGCGTTGCTGCTCTGCTCTTCTAGCTTGTAAAACTGGCAACATCTTAAAATACAGACAATTCAACAATCCAATGACATTATCGGTTCTAAAGATTTTGGTTGTATTAAAGGCACTCAAGCTTTCTCTTTATACTTTTAGAGTTCACTATGTGCAAAGCAGTTAAGCCCCCCCCCCCCCCAAATGGGATGATAAATTTAAGCTCCCTCAGTACGCGTCTGTAGTAGTAAAGGTAAAGGGACCCCTGACCGTTGGGTCCAGTCGCAAACGACTCTGGGGTTGCTGCACTCATCTTGCTTTACTGGCCGAGGGAGCTAGCGTACAGCTTCCGGGTCATGTGGCCAGCATGACCAAGCCGCTTCTGGCGAACCAGAGCAGCGCACGGAAACGCCGTTTACCTTCCGGCTGGAGCGGTACCTAATTTATCTACTTGCACTTTGATGTGCTTTTGAACTGCTAGGTGGGCAGGAGCTGGAACCAAACAACGGGAGCTCACCCTGTCGCAGGGATTCGAACCACCGACCGTCTGATCGGCAAGCCCTAGGCTCTGTGGTTTAGACCACAGCGCCACTGAAACACATAAAACACAGGTAGGAAGGTTCACTACCCTAGACACAATGTAGAATAGAAGCAGAGATGCATTAAGTTTTTGTTATATCTTTTCACACCAACTTCCTGATAATACTGGAACCTTCAAGATAGCTTATTAGGAAATAATATCATAGCCAAGGATGTAAAAAGGTTAAAAGACAACCCCAATATCTTGCTCCCAATGCACTTTCACTGAACAGTTATTGATAAACAGGATTGAAGGTCTCTTTAGGGAACTCAAATTCACTAAATCAGTATGAATGACAACAGCTTCAATGGCAGGAGAGTGTATCTTTGACATTTTAAACTGTGTACATTGATACAACAAAAATAACATTGCTCAGAAGCAAAATATTAACTTTTCTATTTTAGCTTACTTGTATTGCTCATTTTTGACAGTAGAGTGTATGTTTCCACTATTAAAGATAACTAAGTGTGTTCAGTGTGTTCATCAACGTCGTATCTGAGTAGTTTAGGGCCAAAAGTTCCATGCAGGGGACCAGAATCCTATCATCAGGTAGTCTGCTGAGACCAGAAGACTTTTTATGACTAACAAACATGGGTTAGGGTTAATGATCAGGCATACTGTGTGCCACTTACTGGTGACAAAGAAACTTTCCCCTATTATCAGTGCATCTTCTCAGTGCCACCCAGCAGTTAATTTTCAATAGGTTAGAAGCCTCTTACAGTCTGGCCCTGAGAGTGTTATGATGGAATCCTCTATTAACAAAGGTGCCTGTGCTCCATTTGGTCTTGTTTCATTGTAGGATTGTCTATTACTGAGATCCAAGGATGTGGACAAGGTTTTTGGTAAAGTCTAGGCCATGGGTAGTCAACCTGTTTATACCTACCACCCACTAATGCATCTTTTTTGATGGTAAAATTTCCTTACCGCCCATCAATGCTTGATGGAAGGAGGATGCAGCTTGTGCCACAGAACCCCCTACCATCCACCTAGAATCCTGAAACGCCCACTAGTGGGCGGTAGGGACCAGGTTGACAACCCCTGGTCTAGGCAACCAACCCTTGCCTTTCATGGCTTATTACTTCTAGTAGGGAGAGGCTGTTTGGCTGAGTACAGGAGGTTGCAAATTTCTCCGAGTGAAGGGCTATGTTATTTTTTAAAAAGTGGTTATTAGATGTGAACAATTATAGACTGGCTGCTGACTCCCCCACTTTTTGGATGAAGGAGTTCAGGCCAGGTGAACCCCAGCCACTCTTGGGCGAAACTGATTTTCTAGATCTGGGGTTGGAAATCTGTCACCCTCCATGGACTCCAGCTTTTTCTTAGAGGTGTGCCTGGCAACCATATTATGGTCTTTTTTGGAAATTTTAATCTAG